TTGCTTAAAGATTTAAGCCGGCGCTTAATTGAAATCGGTTTTTGGCGGATTTAAGACACGGCTCAAATTCATTAAATCGGACACTGATCGGATAAGCCTTTATAAGGCGTTTATTTTATACAAACAAACCAACGCAATACATAACGATATCCACTGTTTTAAATATTTTTTTTTTGGAATTTCATGTTTGTTTATTTTGTACAGCTTGAAGACACACTTGCCTCAAACTCTAATTTGATGATCCCTTTCTAATTTCATCTTGACGGCGAAAACTTTTGATATTTTGAGCTTTAACTTTTATCTGGAAGAATTCATGTTTTAAAATAACCCATGTAAACGACGTACATCGGTGTATAAAATAACCCATGTAAACAACGTACATCAGGGTTTGAAAGATATGAGGATTATAAAATCAGAGTCTGAGGCGAGTGTTAAGTTCCTTTTATACCATTCTTTTCAGAGAAGATACGAGGCTACATATTTTCCATGATACGTTTCATTCCTTGAATTTTGGAAACAATGAAGATCCAAGACCGAGACAAAATGAATTTTTCTTTTATCTGCATCGACTACTTTTGTTCAGGTGCTTTAGTGCAATAAAGATACGTTGATTGAAAAGTTTTGAAATTGTTTTTCTGATACAGATTAGCTGGTTACTTTATATCATTTTCTGATAAAAATTAGTTGGTTACTTTATATCATTTTCACTGGACCTTTTATTAAAGAGGTTAAGACCACGATTAAAATAATTCTGAAAAGTTTAAGATTATTTGTCTAACTTTGAATGTTAAAACTGAGACTAAACTCGAGATTCAGCTGGAAATCGTGGAGTTTGTTAAATTGTTAACTGGCAGGTATTTGACTGAACGTGATACAGAGGGACTTCCAGAAACATCTCCATTCAACAAAACAAACCGTCTGGCTCAGTTCAAGTAAACCAATTTTTTGTGAAAATTTTTNCTGAATAACAATGAGAAAGATATCTTCGTTTTTCTGTCTAAAAAAAATGATTTATAACTGATTAGTAAAGAGCACCGTTTGTGAATTGGACAAGCCACTCTGTAGATAGAGGGTCCCTTGATACGTCTCAGTCAAATTTTATATTTTTCAGATCAGATTATTCCTTAACCCCTGAAACCGATCCATCAAATCTAATGTCAACATTTTCAAGGTAAAAACATTTTATCTTTTTATTATTTTTTATTTTTACTTTTTCTTTTATTGAACAGTTTTTACCCAAAATGTTTTCATTTTACTGTGGTATACAGTGTACAGTGTACATGAATCAGGTTTCATCGAAAATGGTATGAAACATGAATATTTGAATTTTGAATATTTTAAATTTGAATATTTAAAACATGAATATTTGAAATTTGAATATTTGAAATTTGAATATCTGAAACATGAATATTTGAAATTTGAATATTTGAAATTTGAATATCTGAAACATGAATATTTGAAATTTGAATATTTGGAACATGAATATTTGAAACATGAATATTTGAACCATGAATATTTGGAACATGAATATTTGGAACATGAATATTTGAAATCTGAATATTTGAAATTTGAATATTGAAACATGAATATTTGAAATTTGAATATTTGAAATTTGAATATCTGAAACATGAATATTTGAAACATGAATATTTGGAACATGAATATTTGAAACATGAATATTTGAAACATGAATATTTGAAACATGAATATTTGAAGCAGGAATATTTGAAGCATGAATATTTGAAACATGAATTTTTGGAGCATGAATATTTGAAATATGAATATTTGAAAGATGAATATTTGAATCATGAAAATTTGAAATTTGAATATATATGAAACATGAATATTTAAAATTTGAATTTATGGAACATGAATATTTGAAATTTGAATATTTGAAACATGAATATTTGAAATTTTAATATTTGCTCAAGAATATTTGAAACAATCTTTTTTTTAAATGTGTAAAACTTGTAGAACTGGTCAAGGTAGATTTCAGTTTTTTTTTAAAGTTTCTCAGAGTAATTCACTTTTAAATACCAAAATTGATTTTGATTCTTTCATGAATCCTAAAAAATAAAAATAAATTAAATATTGTTATTTTTTCAGCAATAAGCAAACCTGTAAGCTTGCACCAAAATCAAGTGAGCAGTTTAAATATAAATAATTTTCATTTTATAAATTTCAACATTTTTCTTTTAGTTGAAATATTGGAGAAAACGGAGAAAAATTGCGACAGGAATTTTCCGTTTTCAACAACACAATATTTTTAAAAGAAATTTCCTTCCCCCCTTGATTTTCCTTGATTTAGCATATTTTTTTTTTACTAATTATGGCAATTTTTTTTAGATTTATTTTCCCCAATGTATGGAAAGATATGTTAAAACCATGAATTTTGTTATAGTTTTAAAATTTACTTAAATATGATTGTATAGGCCTTTCAGTTTCTCCTGTT